CCTATAATGTGTGTAATGCGTTATACTATCACCTCAAAATTTCAAGAGCACAGCTACAAAACAAACAACAATGAAACTGGAACTTCACATTTGATGTAGCAAACAGGGAGTTCATGAGTGATGTCACAACTGTGTCCGAAATTTGTGCTCTAGAACACTTGAAGTGATAGGGCATCTCAGCCATCATCAGAAAATTTGTGAACTCTTCAAGGAATCACCATAAATGATTTTTGAACATACAATTTTCGATCAGATTTATCAGCCAACAATACTAAAGGGTGGATCAGCAAATTTGTAATAACCTTAAATTGCAAACTGAAGCACGCCTACGCAAACCAATTCCACCATCGGATAGGAGAGAATTTTTCCTAGCCGACGGTGTTGTTGATTTGCCGGCTATTTTCCACAGAGATGGCGCTGTTCCACTGGTAGGAAGTGATAAAAATCCCCATGTAGAAATTTTGAGAAGTGAGAATAATTCGCTTTCGGTGTTTTAGGTCAACAAAAGTGAACGACAACTTGAAGAAATTAGTCATGAAGTTTTTCGTTCAATTTTTTTCCCGGAAATTATTGTAAAGAAGCTGAAGTTAATTAAAGATGAATTTTCCCCAGACAGCCTTACCTGTTTTTCAACCAGTCCCCAGAGAGCCAAAAAATAAAAATTTGAGAGACAAAATTTGCTCTCACTAGTTCAATTTCTCAACATACCATGTATTTTGATGTCACTCTATTTGTGATTTCCCTCTCACATACTACAAAATAGAGTACCTGACACTGCAAAACATGTCTGGTACCTCTATATATGCATTTAGATTAACATCTGAAGTCCCTTTTTTTAAATATTTTGCACAAAAGAAACTTTCTGCCCCACCTCATTCATAGAAATCGACGGGAAATCCTGTGTGTGCAGAATGTGTAAATGTATAAATGTATATATAGAGGTACCAGACATGAATGCAGAAGCTTGACAAAATGATTAATTGTTGGTTGAGATTTCACGATGTTCTTTTCTTATAAAAAAAGGCTGTCATCGTTACCTGTCATAATATTTATAGATATGTGAGATTCGACCGATAAAATTCGATATTATTTGTTTTTACAGATTTAAGCACGATTCTATCGGATGAATCAGATAAAATGGATTTCTCCGCCTAAAAATCAATAAATCAATCTTTAGAGTAATGTTTGGCAAAATTTGAATAAATTTGGGACTTTCTGCCCCTTATTCACTTTTTCAGTGACAGTGACTATAGACAGTCAAGTTGTATACTAGCAATCGTGAGTTGACGTATCCAATCAAACCATCAAATCGTATGGAAAATGTTCGTTTTTACAACATGGCAGCACATTGACAGGTCTATAACTATGACCGTCTATAACAGTGACAGCTAGTTCATAAGAGGGATTTGAAAACGCGCGAATTTCTAATGCGTGTTGCAAAATACATCGCACGTGTAATATGTTGATATGTTTTGAGCCTGAAATTGCAACTTTAGACTAAAAGTCTTTTGTACAAAGTTGTTCCTTGTAGTTAGGCCCTCATTTTTATGACAATGAATTCATCGACGGCTTCCTCATAATCTGGGCTTCTGAAATTTCCTAAAAAGGTTGTGACAACACGCTGGAACGATTTCCACGCTTCTTCCTCATCTGGTGTCAAAACTGTATTGAATGCGGAATCATTGAGCAGTTTTTTTTATCTGTGGGCCAACAAATACACCTTCCTTTATCTTTGCGTCAGATAAATTTGGAAATACTGATTTCAAGTACTGGAATGCCGGCCCTTCTTTTTGCAACGCTTTGACGAAATTTTTGAATAGCCCAAGTTTTATATGTAGTGGTGGAAGTATTATGCGTTCTTTTACCACAAGAGGATCATTTTTAACGTTGTCTTTAACAATTGTGAAATTATCCCGTTTTGGCCAATCTTTTCGGACGTAGTGTTCCTTACGAGCTCGACTGTCCCATTTACACAAAAAACACATATATTTTGTGTATCCCTGTTGCAGTCCAGTCAACATGGCAACCACTTTAAGATCGGAACAAATTTTCCAATTGTGTTGATTGTAATTTATCAAATTGAGCAATAGAGCCATTGATTCATACGTTTCCTTCATATTAACGGCATGAGCTAATGGAATAGAAGGTTTCTCATTCCCTTGATGCAGTAAAACGGCTTTCAAGCTCAACTTGCTGCTATCGATGAATAAACGCCATTCAGCTGGATCATATGGCTCACCAAACTCTTCAAACAAGCCGTTTACGTCATGGCAAAAACATGCCTTGTCCTTTGTAGAATAATATTTGTCAAATTTCTTGTGACGATTCCTGTGACAAGAAATTTTGACCTCCTTGCTCAGCATGTTGTGTTCTTTCAAGCGTGATGCCAGCAATTCGGATTTCTCCTTTGATAAGTCGAGATCTCGCACCAAACCATTAAATTCGGATTGTGTAAACAGTTTTGGGTTTCTTTCCAATTCCACCTCGAAGTCTTCCTCGCATTCCTCCTTGAATTCCTCCTCACTTTTTGTAACGGTCGATTCAACAGAGGGCGCTCGTTTCCGCTTTGGATAAACAGGATACGGGATCGAACTTGAATGTGGAACATGTTTTGTCATAGAAGCCACTTGTGGATACTCAACTGTTTTGTGACGTCCTTGTTGCTTAACTTTTGTCAAGCAGAAATAACAATCCGTTGCATGACAAAACGGTCGACGCCATATGGTGGGCATGTCAAAGGACAAATAGCGACTGACAGATAACAAATGAGTGAGTTAGTAAGTAAGACATTAACACTTATCAAAAATAGATGAAGTAAGATAATGTCGATCAGGAAAGAACAAAGCACTACCATGCAGTACATAAATTGTTTATATGAAAGTTATTCAAAAAATCAATTTACCTTGCGCCTGACATCCACCTAGCTAAGCACGTTTTGCACGATCTACATAATACTTTTGGAATCCACGGTTCGTCAAAGTCTCCAGGATCAATTTTAAAATAAAGCCTGTATGCAGTTTGCAACGAAGCAGTGAAATTGACCGATTTTGTAAATATATAGTTGCCACACGCGTAACAAAACTTTTGAGGATCATTTTTACACTTGAATTCACGTTTTGTCCTATACATCGTTAAGCAATGTTAAAGAAAGAAAGCTGTCAAATTGAGTTGGTTGCGTTAGGTTCTCGCCGAGCGGTCTCACAAACACTAGCGTAAATTATATTGTTGAAAATATCCCATTTAATTTTGCGTGACAGCTGGTAGTGTTAGTGAAATGCACCGTATGCGTACACGTCCGCAGAAAGGCTTACTGGAAGTGGTGCATGAACCTAGGAGCGGGACAACGGCCAATCTTGGAACATTCAATTTCCATGATTTTACAAAAAATTTCATAAATTCGACAATTTCCAACCGATTTCATCTATTAAAGGCTCATTTTCTCCAGTTTTTAATGGACTTTAAGAATAAATTATGGAATGATTTTTTGAATATTTTTATCCCATTAAAAATGTGGATTAAAACAAGATTTTTATGGAAAATCCGCAGGAAAAATAAAAAAAATGCTGTAAATTTTTAAATGACTTCAAAATAAAATTTTTAATTAAGACATAATATTCTAGTGAACGATAGCAAATTTATTAAACTTCATTTTCATAAAAAAATATTTAAAATTGGTGCATTAGTTCCAAAGATATTGACATTTTAGTAATCGTACTTTTGTCCAAAATTCAAAAAATCAAAATTTTTGAATATCTCAAAAATGGCTCTACTTTAATTTTTTTCTGACCACGGCATTGAATTCAGCGTAGGATTTTGCATTATAAACGTTGGTCAACCACTAAAGTTCACACTTTTTATGTTGTTTTGTAAACTAGTGTAATTGATCCAATATTGGTATGTAAACTGAGCAAAATACACTCATAAAACTGCCCTACACATTTGGCTCTAATCCGATAAATACATGAGATTTGACAGTACATTTACATACTGTGTTGCAATAATTTCGTGTTCGCTCATTATGATTTTATATCATGTTGACATAATTTTATAACAGTCCTTCAAGTTTCTTTACATCTAGGTAAGAGAGAAACATTTCACAGTTTCACAGTTATTCGAATCTAGACATCATTGGCGGCTTAGAGTTACAAACCGGTGCTCAAGCAAACAAAGAACGAGTCCAATTCATACTAAACGTCGAGTTTGGATCGAATATCCAACGGTGTGGTCTCCCAAAACCGCGCTCTGGGTCAGTAGTGGCGCCACAGGTGGTCAGAAAATCTGCATACGATGAAGATGCTTATCAAAACCACACAAACTTCTTCGATGGTGGATCGAATGTCGATGCTGGTCCGATAGTAACCGCACGCAGCGAGTAAATAGACACACTGAAGTGTCCCACAATGTTCGAGGCCCGTGCCTCGAAAAACATATTTTTTCGACCGTTTATAACCAAACGATAATTTAATTGCTTGAATGGCTCGGGCTTGAAGAAGAAGAAGAATCACAATTAAACCTGTCGATAATGATCTGCAAAGTTATGAGCAGCCGGTGTCCGGCGGTGCAATTTCAGGTTTGAACAATTAGGCGCGTCAAGCGTTTAGTGTGTGTGTGTGTGTGTGTGTGCGTTTGTATGTGGGCACGAGGAGGATGTAATTAATCTTTGCAAAAGTGAATGCGCCGACATCATCAGCCATCGCCCTCTAAAGCTGTCGCCATAATTATTGAAGCAGGCATCTTTATCGGCTCTCTTGGGGGGCATTCACGGCGCGGCGCCTTTTGGTTTATGAGTAGATAGGTCCGCTAGAAGAGGTCGTAATTCTTCCGTGACGTAACGCGTCGATGACGTGGCGACAGACGGTTCTCGGTGCTGGGAGATTGATTGCCTGTGGTAATCATTTCCTTAATTCATCCCTGATCTTACCTGTGTTTTACGAACCATTAGCAACCTCAACCTGGATAACGTATTCATTAGACATTCTTTTTTCTCTCTCTCAAAACAGATCATTCTCAACTCGATGCACCGATATCAGCCGCGGATCCATCTGGTCCGCCTCGGTCCCGGCCAGCAGATTCCCACTAGCCCAAAAGAGCTGCAGGAAGTCGATCACAAAACGTTCGTCTTCCCGGAGACAGTGTTTACGGGCGTCACGGCCTACCAGAACCAGCTGATTACCAAGCTGAAAATCGATTCCAATCCGTTCGCCAAAGGATTCCGGGACTCGTCCCGACTGACGGATTTCGACAGGTAAGACACATTCACCTCCTAATGCACCTGTCTCAATCACCACCACCGACCCTTCAAGCCGAATATTCGAACCCCGTAGAAAAACAAAACAAAAACATGATTTATGATATGTTGAGATGTTAACTTAATTACATTAAACTAGCAATTTATAATGTGTTTTCTCGGATTTTCGAAGAACAAAGCCAAAAGCGCCGACACCGTTTTTATATATCGCGGTGCTCCCCCCACCCGCATCCCTTCTTCTAACTCCAATCATCCCGAGCTGGCAGCCGCAGCATCATCATCGCCGCATTTTGCTGCGCCTTTCATCGAAGAGTTAATTTGGTCCGAACGAGGAGCGCGGATCGAGATGCCGAAAGGCGTCTCGCAGAATCCACGCCCCAAAAAAGCGCTGGTCCGCCGCGGCCGATGATCGCCGGCTTCTAATTAACGGGTGTTGACTCGGTGATTAATGGTTGCCCCCTTTGATTTGGATTCGTTTGCCTTCGATCGATTGCCGATCGGTTTTGTTCTTCCAAAATTCTGCTCCGATAAGAGCTCGACCAGCTTTGCATTCCGTTGATTATCATTCCGATTTGATGAGTTTTTGATTCAAATTTTGTCTTTTGTTTTTCGTTTCAGTTTTCCCAACATGTAAGTAGCCAGTTGTGGTGTTTCGATCAGTTTTCGAAAGTTGATATATTTACTTACCAAAAACCGAATTTTCTCTGTCCTCCCCTTCCAGAGATCCCATGGAAGCTCTCCTCCTGGAGCAGCACCTGCGTGCCCCCCTGCGCCTGTTCCCCGATCCCTTGCTGGCCCAATTTGCCATGGGTCCTGGTCAGGAGATGGACGGTGCTCACGTAGCCCTGCTGGAAAAAGCCCGCCAACACCTGCAGATCTGGGGTCGGTCACCGTACAACGATCTCCTGCTGCCCCAGATGTACCAACGCCCACCCCAAATGAATCTAGGAAGCTTCTGGCAGAGCCAACCGTGGCCCCAGCAGCTTCCTCCGGCTGCATTTCTGCAGAGCGCTGCAGCGGCCGCCGCAGCATCTGCCGCCGTATCGCAAGCTTCGACACCGCCACCTTCGCATACCACGGTTTCAACGTCCTCGTCCAGTTCGGGGTCTCCGTCGCCGTCGGATATGCGAGCCAAGCACTTTGGCAACCGTTTCAGCCCCTACCAGATGCCACCGCAGCATGTGCCTCCACAGCACAACCAACCACCCTCGCCCCGAAGTCCACCGAATTAGAGAAAATCGAAATACCATGCAATACATACGCGGGAATGATTGCATTCTGAATCTGCTTAGGTCCTTCGTTTCTATTCACTGTGTAAATATCAAGTTCTGTCGATCGCTGTTATTTATTTTGCTTCTTTTATTCTGTGTTGACACAAATTTTTCGCCCATCAATTGGTGTATTCACATTGTTAATCGATTTTTAATGGATTTGTAATTTATTCTTAGTTCACTTCCTAGGCAAACTAATGTAATATGGTACTATAATGCTACATGAATAAAATAGTGGCACTGAAAAACGTGGTTGATATTCTCACACAACTTGTTGTGATTCAAAACAATTTGAACGAATTTTCTTGTAAATAGAAGAACGGGAAATAAATAATACTGTGAGTTCAATAATACGCCGTTTGAAGAATTTTTTATTGAAAGAAATCCAAAGACTGCGGAAGGTAGGTATCGATTTAATGAGGATTTTAATGTTATCATCTCCTCCAAGGACCAATTTGCTTAATTTGTTTTCCAAAAAATATAAACCATTTCAAAATAATCAATATAGGGGAATTTACGTATTCTCGTCAATCTAAGCAGCGTCCGCACTTCTATAAGCATATTCTCAGCGTCACGCTCATATATGACGTGTCTGTTTGTTTACATTCATCTGCTGCTTGCTTCTCTATCCATTCCAATCGATAGAATTTTTCAAAACGGTTTTAAAGCGTTTTTACAACGCTCCAAACTTCTCAGGTGAGTGTGACTATTGTTGGCAGACTCTTTTTCTTCGGCAACCTTCCCATTAGAACTGCGTGTTAACCAGCTGTTCTATTATCAGCAACTCGAAATCAACCCCATTTTGTAGTGCTTATGCTTCATTTGAAGAAAAATCTGGCATTACAGGATTGATCGGTCATACAAATATAATCAGATTGAAGCTGAAAGACTTAAGAATCGTTTGAATACATTCAGGGAAGTGTGTTGATGGGAAAACATAATGAAATTAACGTTTAAATTTTGGTTGCCGAAAACAGTCAATGGGTGCCGAAGCCAACATTTACCCTACCTATTCAAAAACAAAAAAAGAAGACTCGCTCTAGATTTCAAAATAAAATATTATATCGACATGTAAGCGATGATTTTAAAGCCGAACGCTGCATCATCCAAAAGCAGGCTTGATGAAATTCTTCAAACTACCTGGAGGTTTTAAAATACTCTTGTCCTGCGAGTTTAGGCAGCCCCCGATTCGAGTGAGTGACGCCAGAAATATGGAAGAAGTAAACTAAAACTTCTCGGGTGAGAGAACTCAAGCGAGAGAATAATTTGACGTGAGATGCGCTTTTCAAGGCTCCGGATGACTGTTTTGTTCAAGGCAAGAAGCTCAGAGTTCATCCAGGATGAGAGCAAGAGCGTGTGATAGAAAACATGAAAATCAGTGGCAGCACAACTCACTCCCGTTTTATCCCCCTTCCTGCGCAAGCTGTGAAGCTCGATGCTTTGATTTGAGAGTAGGAATTCTACTCCTCAGAAAAAAATGTTACGCTCGGCTCAGTTTAGATTCGTGAGCTCCATCAATCCTGTCCAAAAGTTGATAATTTAATTTAAAATACCATTTATGTTTCAGCCACTGAGGTGTACCCTTCCAATACTATCACTTGAAAAACACATTTCGATTCAAGGCGCTGAGGGTCATGAGTAACCGCCACCATGCCACGCCGCTGGCACCGGTCATTTTCTAAATCTGACTTAGGACGGTCAAAAACATTTTCTACCCTTTTTAGGCGTTTTAAGGCTTGTAATCGAAAAAAAATGCTCCATTTTTATCCGTGTGTAACTTTTTTATCCGTGGGTAAAAATTGATGAAAATCTGGGTATAACTAGTTTGGTGTGAATTGTTTACATGTGCAAAATTTCATAACAATCGGTTCAGTGGTTACTGAGATGTCATCAAAACAAGAAGAAAATCGACGGAGAATTTTACGCGCCGTTATGGAAAATCCGACTGCGACCATGAGATGGATCGGAAGACAACTGGGAATCACCCATACAACTGTGTCTCGGGTGGTAAAATCGTTTAAGGAGTCCCAGACGACCGAGCGGCGGGCTGGAAGTGGAAGAAAATCGAAGACAGCTGACCCTGTGAAGGCCCGGAAGCGTAATCCGAACCTTTCGATTCGCGACGCGGTTCTGAAGGCAAAGTGTTCCACCTGGTTCGTTCAGCAAACCATGAAACGAGCTGGGCTTCGTGTATTAAAGGTCCGGAAGGCACCGTACCGGCGTGATCAACAAAACACGGCGGCCAAATCCCGCGCAAGGAAGCTGTATCGAGAGTGGTTAACGAAACCGATGTGTGTGGTTATGGATGACGAAACTTACATCAAGGCAGACGCAAAGCAGATAACGGGGTGGAGTTCTACGTTGCCAAATCACGGTTTGATGTTTGTTTGAGAAAGTGGACAAATTCGCCAAAAAATACTTGCTCTGGCAGGCCATATGCCAATGCGGTAAACTGAGTAAACCGTACATCACAATGGGTACCATCAACAGTGAAATTTACCGCACCGAGTGCCTCCAGAAGCGTCTGTTGCCCTTCCTGCGGTCCCACGGAGGCGAGACACTATTTTGGCTGGACCTGGCATCATGCCATTACGCGCGATCGACGTTGGATTGGTACAGAGACAATAACGTTGTTTTTGTACCAAAAACCGCCAACCCCCCAAATTCACCAGAGATTCGTCCGGTGGAAAGATTTTGGGCCATAATGAAGGCCAAAGTTCGAAAATCGTGCAACATGTTTAAGAACGAGCTGGAGTTGAAGAAAGAATAGATGAAAGTGACCAAAAAGGTCGGCTTCACCATTGCACAAAATGTAATGAGGGGTCTTAAGGGAAAGATACGGGATTTCAGCGATGGAAAGGAAATTGAATAAAGTAATTATGCCGAAACATAATCCATATGTATTAGTTCATTCCCTGAAAGTTTCAAGAAAATCCGACTTAAAATAAATTTTTGACGAACACTTTTCTGGTGCATTTTTTTCGAGTACAGGCTTTAGAGACGAGACACCTTCGAAGAAGATCATCAAAATAACATCCTGCACAGTGATGCCAGAGATACCGATTTTCAAACTAGATACCGATATACAGATAAGGTTCTCCAGAAATCCAATTTTTTTTTTAGATTTTATACCGATTGGTACCGATTTTTTTTAATAATCAAAATTATTTAATTATTATTCTCAAATTATCTTTTATCTCAAATTTGTTGAGCCTTAAATATTTTCAAATATTTACATCTTTAAAAATGTCTTGTGCTTGATACTTTTTCGACTAATGTTTCCATTTCCTTGTCGTTTGTGGCTACCATGAGTCGAGAAACAATTGATGGCTCTTTCCCTTGTTCTGTCCGGTATTTCTTAGGGAATCGGGAAATACTGTTTTAGCATTATTTAACTTTCTGAAATTTTGTTAATTTTTCAACATCCTGAATTTTCCTCCATAAGTTTGACTCCTCCCGGAAACTTGTTTGAACTTCCCATGGAAGCTTCTTCAGCCTTCGCTCAAATGTTCTTATGTCTTCATTCGCCAGTTTTTTTTTTTTTGACATAGGACTACGTTTGTGATTTCTATATGGGGGCACACTTTGTGAAAACTGAAAATGGAACATGTAACGAAATTATGAAAGATTTTGCACGTTAATAACTCAGCTGCCCCTGGACCAATTTCAATAATTTAATCCCTACTCGATTAGAAATATGTCTATGCATCAATAACAATGATTCTGACTGTTGATTTTTAACAAGAAACTTTTGAAAAAATGGTAAATGTCAAACATTGTCCAAAAGCGTCGAATTAACTAACAAATCCACCAATTACGTACATGCATATCCTGCTTCCCCAACACTGTCATCAGAGAGCCGCAAGTAGACGAAACAAGCCGAAGTGGCATTCGCCTCCGATCTTCGCACGTGTGCGAATAGAGAGGATGCAATTGCATAACATTTTGCACACTCATCGCCGTATTCAGAACCACACGCCCCAACGACCACACAAAATGCTCTCCAGAGTTGTAATCTTGTAACCAAACTTGGAGGCAAGTGCACTCAACGAAGCACCCGTGTCCAGCAGCAGCCTGGCCGATACTCTTCCAAGTGTCCATTCCTCGTAGCACCTTCACAACCAACAATCTGTGTCCTACTTTCTACAATTATTTTTATTTAATCATCAAGTAACCATAGGTAAACACTAAACCTCAATGACATTTTCGAAAATCTTTGATGTGGTTTACATTTTCACTCATCTAGTCACATAACCAACAAAGCAACTTTCCGTGTGGAAGTAGAACCATCGCGATGATCAGCAAAACGGTAGCAACCAAGCTTCTAGTCCTGAAGTAACCGGGCCGAGACTCTTCTGAGTGCCCATTTCTCGTAGCAAAGTTGAGGTATCCTTCGCTGCGCCTTTCCAACCACCGCACAGTGGTCCTAAAGTGCCAAAACGTGCGTGTTTTAGTTTATGCGAAAACGGTCCATTTAAGCCATATAGTGTCTTCGGAGAAGTTTGTGCACTTAAAAACTCCCTTCTTTTGAGCTTAGCCATTTCATGATAAATCCACCTAGCAGGGAGATGAAAACTTTACTTTTTTGACGTAAAACTACGTCTTTGATTTCTATATGGGGGTACACTTTGTGATAACCGAAAATGGAACATGTAACAAATTAAGAAAGATTTTGAACGTTAATAACTCAGCTTCCCCTGGTCCAATTTCAATCATTTTATCACCAATCGATCAGAAATATAGCTACGCATCGATGCTTTTAAATATTGATTTTCAACAAAAAACTTTTGAAAATCTGGTAAATGTCCAGCATTGTTCGAAAGCGTTGAATTAACTAACAAACCCACCAATTACCTACATGCATATGCTGCTTCCCCAGCACAGTCATCAGAGAGTAGTAAGTAGACGAAACAAGTCGAAGTGGCATTCACCTCCGATCTTCGGTCTGTGCGAATAGGGAGGATGGAATTGCGTAATATTTTGCACACTCATCGCCATATTCAGAACCAAAGGCAAATTCTTCGAGATAACCACCATCCGTCGTCTGGCTCGCCGTGGCGGTGTCTGACGTATCTCCGGTCTGATTTACGAGCTGTGCTGAAAGTGTTTCTGAAAAATGAGATCTGTGATGCTGTCAGCTACACTAAACACGCCAACCGCAAGCGGCCATGGATGTCATCTACGTTTTGAAGTGACAGAGACGCACTCTGGTTGGTTTCGGAGGTTAAATCATCACCAATTTTGGCAACAAAACGGCTCTTTTCAGGGCCACCAAGCTTATTACAGTAAAGAGTAGGAATAGAATTCATCTGCCTGTTGGTCCATATTTAGAACCAACGATCACACAAAAT